CCCCCATTTGTTGAGCTGCTACTGCATTTCAGGAACCACTTGAACCCTTCAAAGTAGTTTTAATCCTCCTGCTTGTATGAAGGAGGAAACTGAGGTTAACAAAGGCCTGTGGTTTGCTGAGACCCCACACCTAAAAAAAAAAAAAAAGATTTAAACAGACCATTTAAGAATATCTCAGTTTTTTAAAAATTTCACAAAGCAGAAACACTATAGAGTATCAGTGTTACAAAAACTATATGGATGGGGCACCTGAGTGGCTCAGGTCATGATCTTTGGGTCCTGGAATGGAGCCTCAGGTCCAGTTCCCTGCTCAGAGGGGAGAAAGAGCATCTCTCTCTCTCTCTCTCTCTCTCTCTCTCTCTCTCTGTCTCCTCCCTCTCTCTCTCTCTCTCAAATAAACAATCTTAAAAAAAAACTATTTGGGTAATAATTCCCCTAATGCAGGAAATATTTTATTTTAGAATATTTAGTACTTGACCAAGAAGCTAAAAGGAGAGAAAGATGTGAGTATATTCTTTGAAGGCCAACAGCATGGACCTTATGACATTAAGAGGATAAGTAAAGTGGCCGCAGAAGAGAGAGTACAAAGCTCCACATGATTGTTCAAAACAGACAGGGTTTGCAAGCCCCAGAACCTATTGTGAATTGGTGGAGAAAATTGGACATAAAAACATCAAGGAGTATAGGGCTTCTGGGGAATTGGAGAGTATTAGCCCCACCGGAGGCATTAAAATTCCTTTTTTCTTTCTCTAAGCACTAGCTGGCCCAACAGAACGCATCTGCAGACCATACATTCATAGCCCCTGAGACAATAAATGCCACAAAATAAGGGAGAGCTCATCCGAAGCCAGGGTGGACAGGGAAGTCTATGGAGGAACTGGGATGTGAACTACAGATAAAGGATGGACCCGCCTAGAAAGCAAAGGGTTTTCCAAGCAGGAGGAACAGAGGGAATAGAAAGTTGCAATCAGGAAAGTGTGGGGAATATTTAGCATGTGACAATAGTGAGAAAGCAAACCAGTTTAAGTAAGTCCCATTCAGCACAACGTGATTGAACCAAGGACTAGGGACTAATGAGGCAGTAAAGCAAGACTCGGGGCACAGGGCTGTGAACACCAGACACAGGGTATGGAATCCGACCTGGAGGAATGGGAGTCATTAGAGGTTACTGAGCAAGAGAGTGATGCCATCAAAGCAATGTCTTAGGAAAACTGACACGGCAGTAATAAGAAGAATGAGGAGAAGAGGGGAGCCCGAGGTAGGAGGCTGCTCCCCACTATGTTGGGGTCAGGTAATAAAGGACTTGTTCGGTGGCAGGGAAGATGGATGAGGAGAGATGGATGGGAACATGACTGGACAGGGAAGGTGATGCAAAGGAAGCGAGCTCTACTTGGACTGAAAATGACTATTCTACTGGACTAAGTGGTTTGGCCTAGTCATTGTCTGGAAAAGCAGCCGGACTTCAAACCCCAGCTCTGCCACTTGGTAGGTGGGAGGCCTTGGGCAAGTTGCTTAACCTCCGTGCCTCTGTTTATACACTTCCAAGGTGACCATGGCCCTATTCAGCTTGGCATATGGATAACCATATAATGCTTCAGAAGTCTGGAGTGCAGTGAACTCTCAATAGCCAGCACACACTCTTGCTCACTCTTCACTTCCCTTCTGAATACAGTGCTGAGAATGGTCATGAGGGGTATACAATTAAGACACCAGGTGACAAGTTCCATTTAGATACAATCTTTGGTTGGATTTTTGCCTGAAAGCATAAAATACCTTTGGCACCACCCAAGACGCTCCTGCTGGAGGAGCACAGATCTTTCATGCATGGCTGGTTCTTTTCAAGCACTCGGTGGACGGTAGCCAGCACTGGCCACCACACTAAGGGGTGAGGAGGGGGTGACACAGCCTGGAATGCGGCCTCCCAGACCTGTCTTACCTGACTCTCATTCTGAACTATCAGAGGCCCTCTTGAAAGAGCAGTGTTGTCTCTCTCCTAGTCTCTGGTGTCCCGGGGCCCGAGAGGTGCCCCTGTATACACTGAACTTCAGGACTTTGATGCCATCATCTCCCACCAGCCTGTCTGATGCCTGGTCTCCCTTGACTCATTGGACTAGCAGTGGAATAAGAACCCCTTTTGTCTGCACTAAGCAACCCCCTACCCACCCACTAATACCCTTATGAGGTGCCACTGTTGCATTTAGGACAAAATCCCAGCATTCCTAGGAGACACCTGGATTGAGCGCAGCCACTGGTAAGAAATATGTTCTTTAGGACCTATGAGGGTCCTTTATGTTGGGAAGGGAGCAGGCATTGCTCTGACCAATCACAACTGCTAGCCTGGTTGCCCCACAGTAATGAGGTCAGGGAGTGGTTCTTAGGGCCGTATCAGCCAGGACAAGAAAGCAGGTGCGCAGCAGTGCTGACCAGGCCCACAGTGGGACCTCCACCCAAGGAGAAAACAGATCTGAATGAAACTGCTCAGACCCTCTGAGGGCTTCAGAGGCGATGTGGTCATCACTGTCCCACTCTTGGCCCTTGTCTGGACCCTTCAGGAGGGGCCGATGTACAGAAAAGGGACCTCTTCCTCCTCGTTTCCTCTCATATCATCCTACAAGAGGGCAGGGCTACTTGTCATCAAGTCAAATTATCTTGAAGGTCATCAAGAATGATCAACTGGGCTTTGTCTCCTTATCCAAGGAAACAGGAGAGTATAATAATCAACCTAGTGAATGCTTCACTATGTGCCAGGCAGGATTCTAAGTCTGAAGTCCTCACATCAGCCTAGTGAGCTTAGGACTACAGTAACCTCCACTTCCACACAGGTTTATGACCCAGCTCAAAGAGTGTCCTCATCTCTGAAATGGCAATGGTAGAGCTTCAACAGCTAATGATAGAGAGGGATGCACAAAACCTGAAAAATTCTTCTTAGTTCTAGTTTGGTGCCAATAGATGGTTTATTAAATGACTATTTTTTTACACAGTCCTTGATACCTCTCCTAATAGTTCTCAATATGTCAACTCCAGAAGCCCATGATTTAGAGTTAGGGAAGGGCCCGAATCAGTGGAGCTCTCTAGGGCTCCTCCAGGGAACATAGTTCCCACTAGCCACAGTGATGAGGCATCTTTGGCCTGTTGTGAATGTTGTGTATGAATGAGGAAGTTCAGAGAGAGATGAGGAGGTAAGATGTGGGATGGAAAGAATCGAGGAGGCTGTGGTCCCTAAGGTGATATGAGAAAGTAGTAGGAATACCCTGTACATTATGGACTGAATGTTTGTGTCCCCCCTCAAATCCATATGTTGAAGTCCAAACCCTCCAGTGTGGTTCTATGTGGAAATGTGGCCACTAAGGAAGTAATTAAATTAAATGAGGTCACAAGGGTGGGGCCCTGATCTAATAGGATTAGTGTCCTCATAAGAAGAGACACAAGAGGCCCCCCTCCTCTACTTGTCTATCTCTATCTTGTGATAAGAAAAATAACTTGTTTTCTGTTGTTGCCTAGGCATTTTACAGTATGGTAACCTTACATCCACAGACATTTAGACAAGGACTTTAGGAATCCTGCCATAAGTTCCTGCTTTGTTTTTCACAGGGCACTCTATAAAATAACCACTTGGGAGTTAAGCCTGTGAAAAGTTAGTGACTTCTACCCCTACTGCCTTATAAATAACAGGTGCTTGCTACCTTGACGTCTATCTCATGCTGACTCATGACCTGGGTCAGAGGATTGCCTTCATCCCACCCTAGACCCTCATTGCATTTCCTGCCCCACACATACATACCTGTTTCTGGGACTTGTAAGTAATATATCTTGTGACTTGACTTCCTTTGTGTAAGTATATTGAAATTGTGCCTTCAATCCAAAGAACCCCAGGGTTTTTACTTCCCCAAAGCGGCAACTCCAATGCCAAGGGAGCTACTTGCCAACCTGTGTGGGTGCCTTGTGTTTCTCATTCATAAGATCGTACTCTGCCTGTTGTTAATTCAGTACACTAGCCCCATCTTTCCAACACATACCTCTATCTCTGTCTCTGTCTCTCTCTGCACAAGCATGCACCCAGGAAAGGACAAGTGAGGGTATAGCAAGAATGCAGCCTTCTATAAGCCAAGAGGAAAGCTCTCACTAGGAGCCAAACTGGCAGGCATATTGATCTTGGACTTCTAGCCTGTGAGAAAACTTTCCAAAACTGTGAGAAATTAATTTCTGTTGGTTAAGACCCCCAGTCTGTGGCATTCTGGTATGGCAGCCCAGATGGGCTGAGACAGCCTGTGTTTCCTGAAGGTTTCCTGACCCCACCCTTCATTCCTGGCAGGCCCTCTCTGACCCCTCTCCCAACCCCCACTCCCACCTCCAGCTAGGAATCACATCCTACTCAGTCTTCGCAAACAGGGGCACCCAGTGTGAATGGCATTTGTGGTGCTATCCAGGGACTTCACTGGCAGTGGTAGCCACAGCAGGACCAGGGAAACATCATTTGGACCATGAGAATCACTGTTTCTCCAGCTTAAAACAAACTGTAAGTAACTTCCCAGATAATGAAGCAGCTTTTTACAATCCTGAGGCAACTAGAGATGCTTGAAGCTAGTCAGTTTGCTTAGAATGCCAGAACCTAAGGAGTTCTTTGGAGTGGCAAAACTGACCTAGGATCTCTTCAAACTGGGCAAGCGACCTAACCATATGAGTCACTGAGGCCAACTGTGTAACTGTGTAGAGCTATAGAGATGCATGATAATAGTATTCCTCGAGAGTTCTTTCCTTACCTGCCACATCAAGGCTTACCATTCATTATAATATATTATTTTCTAATTCCTATAAACTTCCCCTTTGCTGGGCAGAAATTCTTGAGTTCTCTCATGGGTACCATTCAAGCAGTACGATTCATCACAACCACTAATTGATCTTTACTTAAACTTGCCCTAGGAAAACAGAAAGTCCTCAGAGAATATGGATATGTGCAGTGTATGTTGGTTGAATCATAAACAGGAAAAGGTTTCTGTGGGATGTATTTTTAATGAGAACACATTGTTATACTGCGAGCATGTGGCATTCTTGCTTAAGAGAAACATTTACAAGAACACATACACATTTATATCCAAACACCAAATGAAGTACTTTAAATGACCAGTTTGCACCAGAAATAAAATATATTATACAAAACAGGGGTTATATCCACAGTCATTAATCTTCATTTTCTACACAAAACAATAAATTAAATCACATTATATGCAGATAGTTCTACTTACATTAGAATAATAAATTGTAGCTTGTGCGGCTTTAATTTTATTTTTCTACCATACTCCTGGTAGATCTGTATTGTTTGGTAGTCCCATATTTAAAATAACAATGAGTAATATGGCCCAGAAGACAAGGGCTGCAGAAGTAATCCTCCACAGTATCTATTCCATGTCCTCTTGGTTTCAACTATTCACCGTGAACAAACGGGGAACAAAGCTCAGATTCCCAGGACCCAACAAAAAGTCTGCAAACTCACAGCATCTCCAGGTTGTTGAGGGCACCCCATTGCTGTCTTGTAAGTAAGACACACCACACTGGACTTCTTCAGATGTTGGCATTGAATAATAAATAGGATATCCTGTTTTGAAATCCAAATTTTCCTCTTTCTCGACATTTTCTGCCCAGTGATTGTGTGCTATCACAGCTTTGGTCCCCTAGCAAATAAACAATTTGGTAGTCCATGTTACGACTTACACTTTTTGTTGGAAGGGCCCTTTATTCCTGTGCATAAAATGTAGGTCTTTAAACACATGAATCAAAGCAACAGCATTTTTGCTAACTCTTAGTTTTGCTTATTCAAATCTCTCCCTTAAGAATCAATCCACACCTGATACATCAAAGAGCTATTATAACATATGGATTTTTACTTCTGAGATTCAGCTTCCATTGAAACCCTTTCACCATGTTTGAAGTAGCTTAAAACATGAACATTAACTGCATCAGCTGGTTTAGAATTGCTTTACCTTTGGTCTGAATTAACATTAGTGGTTAATGAAAAATTTGAACAAACTCCAATCCAGCACCTTTTGAAAGTCATTTTAATCCTAGAGTCTAGCTGTGGGGTATGCCTGTAAGAGACATTTGTGAGATCTACATGCTGAAAACCAAAGCAAGGCTTGTTGGAATATATGCACATCACAGGCTTGTCCTGCGTGTGTGGTCAAGTTAGCATAAGGGTTCTGATCCAAAGCCAGCTACATTCTTATAGGCAGCACTGTTTTGTCTTCTTTCCCTCTGAGGAAGCACAGAGGTCCTACTCACAAGTTTCTACCTGCTTGGGCAAGATGCCGATGCATCTTGGAGCCACGATGGATGGTGGAGGGGGGAGTGAGGGAGGAAGGGTGGGAAGGACAGTGGCAGCTTGCGATGCCACCCTCTTCTGTTTCTTTCAGAGGATCAAGCTCCTGATTCTTCTGGCTGGGTGTGTCCCAAGCTTCTTGCTGAGTCTGGCTGTTGAAGATGGGCTAAATTATTGGGTATTCTGTAGTTCTAAAGATCAACTGAAAAAGAAACAGATCCCTCTGAACAGCACCTTCTCATTCTCTATGCTTCCACACTGCCCCAAAAACATATTCCATGTTTTCAGTTTTTTCCACTGAAGAAGAAATTTAGCCCGTTTTCAGCTTCCCCATAAAGCGCTAACCACCAGGGCATACTAAAACAGAACCCATGAAATATAGATCGAGGGGCCTAATTTTGGTTGGTGTTTGGTTTTATACTGTATCCACTCAGGATCTGGGCTCTTTGTGTCCCAAGAAACATAAGTATGCACTCTTTTCAGTTTATAAATACTCCCTTAATACTGGTGGTATAATATTTTATTTGGCCTCCTAAAGAGACTTCCACAAATAGTCCTGTATACTCACTCACAGAAGGTGGTGATGCCACGGGAAGCTCATTTCTGAATTGTCACTGTCTGTTGAGGTCTATACAATAGCTTCAATTTTACTGCCAATGGCATAACCTACACTTCCAAAATCAGGAATAATCAGAAAGAAAGTGGTAAAACTGGGACAAAGGGGGCACAGGTTCCTTGAATAAGTTAAGGACCCTAGAACCTGTAAACAGGGAGAACTGATGGGATATTCTAAAGCAAAAGTCTGAATTTTAAGGAAGAGGAGAAAAGGAGACATTCTCTTTCCATACATTTCTCTTCTCCCTCTGTTAAAAATCGCTTCTGAAATGTAAAACAAAAACAAAAACTATTTCAGAGCCTATGGAACTATGTCTGTGGTTCAGGAAAGGATAAGCTGACAGTTCTGGGAAGTGTAATGTTGTATCTGTCGCGGGCAGATACACGATTGATACAGAAAATTATTTCTGGATAAAAGTGATTATCTGGAGAAAACTTTTATTTTTGAGCCCAGAAAAGAAAAATCTACAAAGTTGACAATGATAACTGTAAAACCTACACTTATTTCCAACACAATGAGTATATACTTTCTGTATATACGCCATATATACGCATATATACGGAAAGTATATACTCATTTTGACCTATATAAATATCATCTTGTTTGGCCAGATGAGAAAATACTGATAAAGCTTCCCTTTTAAAATCTGAACACCCTAGACTTCAGGGTAAACATTTATAGGCTGATTTAAGAACTAAAGCCCTATTTATTTTGCTGTATATATCTGGCTTCTGGTGGAATATGAATGATTAGTTGTCAAAGATGCTGCTTAGCAGTTAGGAATTTAAGTCCCAGATTATAATCTCCAGCGATCTTAACCCAAGGTACGCTTGGGACAAACACCTACACTTGTGAGATCTACATGCTCTCTACAAGCGAAGGTTTCCAACTTAATGGAGTTTTGGTGACTCATATGATGATTTTCAGGAGGAAAGAAGTGGAAATAGACATGTAAATAAGCAATCAATCTTAAGAACCCCAGAACTGCTTTAATTTTGGAACAGAATGGCATGTATCTATGAAACCTCATGATTTGTCCTGCCATCTTTAAAAAAAACTAATGCCTTATTTCTACCATTTTATCTGGGGATATAATATTAACTTTAGAACTATTCCTGTCCCTGAAGTAGAAATAAAAGATATTTGCTTTAAAAATGTTACAGTTATCAGGCCCCCATATAAATTCCAGAAGGGTTAGAAATGTTTATATCCAAAGACTGCAACCAGGTAGAGTGATTTTCTCCCTGTACATAGGCTTGAAATTTACATTTTTTTCACAAACACAAGATAGTATAAAATGAATATCTCTAAAACACATTGAAAACATCATTGAAAAATAAAAATGAGAGAGAAATAAGCTCTCAATTCACAAAAAAAAAAAAGATGGATGCAAACCTTCCATTCTGTTTTCACTCTGAAGATTTCTGAGCTGTTAAATGTTTTCTCTCCTATATTTTACTTCCCAAACTCTCTGCCTACATTGGAATTTCTGGAGCTTGCCTTTCTTGCCTTCTTTTTCCATCTTTTTTTTGAAGTCAGCACTTTTTCCTTTGCATCCTCCTGGAGAACTACAACATAGTCATTTCTGTTGATCATAACTCATTCTGTTATCATGCTCTCCAGCTGCCCGAATCCCGTTTTTTAAATGTAGAGGGGAACTATGCTTCACACAGAAATCATCGATTCACTGAAATAAGCCACTTGGCTGGCTGAAATAGTAGTGACAGAGGCAGACTCCTTCAGGGAAGCATGCTCAGCCAGCTTCCAAGATATTCAGCTTTCACTCTGCCTGCCTCCACTACTACCTGTGTGGACTACACCTTCATCACTACCAAGGAATTGCTTGAATTCCCCTATTTTCCTCCCTATACATGGTCTTTTATAGTCACTAAGGTAATTTTAGAAACTATTTTCCAGATGTTCAAAATGTTACTGAGGAAAGCCCCGAGTGACATAATTACAAGATGGTACACTAATTTGGCAACTCCCTATTCTCTTACCATTTTCTCTATAAATTATCAGCAAAAATGGCAACCTGAGTTTAAACCTATGTATAGAGTACTGGGTACAAAGGAGATATTCAGATATTCAATACTTATTTAACTTTGTCCAAATCCCTTATATCTACACCTAACCCGCTATTGCATGGGTTATTAGTGGATGACTATAACACTGTATAAAGTTGTCCTTGAGGAAAAAGGGCTGCCTTAAACCCTAATTAATTCTAATAAATTCCACCCCTTTATGTTGAAACTCATCGTTTGACCAGAACTGGAAGAGGTCTATCCCTAAAATAACTTTTCATTTAAAACAGAAAAATGGGGTGGGGTGGGGTAACTGGGTGATGGGCACTAAGGAGGGCACTTGATGGGATGAGCACTGGGTATTATACTATATGTTGGCAAATTGAACTTCAATGAAAAAAATGAAAAATTTTTTTAAAAAATAAGACAGATAAATTGATGTACTCCTGTAAAGTCTGTGATCTGAATACATTTCTAGATCTCCGTAATTAAAGCAGCAATTGGCATTTGGCTATGGCCAAGGGGGAGAGAGAAACAAGGAGAAAAAGTGAAGCATCTTTCATCATTGCTGGTTTGCTGTACACTTATTTTGCTTTTAAAATATAAGTGGAATTTAATCTTCAAAATGAAAAAATAGACACATTTTCTAATAGCAAAATATAAGATTAAAATACCTAAAAATAAAGTGTTAGTGTGAAATAGGGCTTTTTTTTACATTAAAAGGTGAAACATTTTAGATTTGCTTTTCTTATATAAATCCTCTTATCTTATTAATAGTTACAACTTTCCAGAATAGCTTTTATGAGACACTGAAGGAGACAGGCAGGAAATCCTTTTTCAAGATACAAAGTCAGGACCTAAATATATACATTGGACAGAGCAGTCCTCAACTTCAAATCTGTCCATCAGCACTAGAAAAAGGAACACTGTATTTCCAACCTTGATATTTTTCATTACATTTTCCTCTTTTTGGATGTTAAATTTTTCCAAGAATATTCTACTTTTAAAAACTTTATTCTAGCTATAAAACATTTCATTTAAGAAAACCACATTTTTGTAGCCTTATGTGACATGCCCCCAAAACCATCAATATATGGAGACATCAGATTTTCAAACACAAATCTAATCATATGCCCTTGAAACAGTATGAACATTTAACAGAGTGAGGCTATATTCTCATATTTGTTTGTCATGAGGTGAAAGGCCAGGAGGCTTATGGTGATTAATAACAGTTCCTGAGCTTCTAAAGAAATTTTACAACAAAATGACTAACTGCTTAAAAGAATGAGTTCCTCAAGAGCGCTCCTTCTGTTCCATTGATGTCTTTCATCCCATCTATCTCCTTAAAGAATCTCAGGCCAAAAGAAAAGGCTTTCTTTTAAGCCACTGAAAAATGGGATCTGATGGAATCTTCCCGTAACTCTCGATGTTTTCCAACGTTACTTTCTTCTTGCTGGCTTCGCCTCTCAATGGTTATTCTGTATTTCTTCCTGTGTAAAGGGAAAGTGAATGTAGTAATAAAACCTTCCTTGGCTACAAAATACTATGGTTTCTCTTACAAAGAATGCCCTCAAGGGACATCTGGGTTTGGGCTGATAAATGAGAAGTGATAGAATATGAAACCCTGGTCAGAGATTAAAGCAGTGTGCCCCAAGGCGTTATGCCCTTACTCAACAAGGAAAATTGGCATGCTTTCTGAAATGCCAAAGAACAAGCCCTCCCCTTTTTCCCTGGGTGCCTTGTGGGTTAAGTCTTGTCTTTCTGCCACAGAAACTCTCCCTAACTCCCAGGATATGTCCGAGATAAAGATCAGATTAAGTGGACTGTGACCAAAGGAACAGGAATACAATTGTTCCCACAAAGAGTCACATACACTCAGGGTTACATTTCCATACAGAAATGAAGAAATCTTGGTCTAATGACTTGGGACTAAGCCACAAACTCAATCACCAAAGATTACAAAGGAATGGACCGCCCTCATGATTTGGGACTATCAGTATCTTGAACACAGATAAATATTACAATTTTACGAGCTTTGGGGCTTAACCACAGTGGCAATTAAATGTGTGGATTCTCCAAATACTGAGCACAGACCAGCCCAAGAATGTGGACTGCTCAGACCCACCTCCTCCTCTTTGGAAGGCAAACCCAGACACCTATTTCTGAATTGGAGGAAGCTTAAGAATAGGTTAAGTTGTTTTTCCTTTGTCCAAATTCCCTCTCCACTTAAGAATTTGGTGGGTGATAGGAATTTGCATCAGGATACTTATGATCAAATGATAGCCGTGGCTCTGTGGCCCATAGAGGGATGCAATAGAAAGCCCTGTCCCACTGCCCAGGATGCTAACCCATCAACCACCAAACCAGCTGGGTCACGAATACCATCACGAATGAATGGCTCCATTTTTTAATTACCATGCTTTTGGGGGAAAAGCAAGATACAGACAAGTGATAAGAAGGACCGTGCAAAGGTGAGTGATAAAGGCAATAAAAGAAAGTGAATTTTAAAACTTGATAAAGCAGTCCTAACCTGAAAAAGTAGAAGGCCATTAACAAGCCAGCTCCTAGTAAGGCCCCCACCACAATTCCTGTCACTGCCGATTCTTCTAGACCACCTGCTTAAAAAAGAAACATAGATAATCAGAGTTCATTTGGAGAAACAATTGGAAATGTCTCAAGTTTCAGTCCCTGGAGGGTTTATCTCAATTTCCCACTTATGGCACATTTTCCTTTTTTTGTTGTTTTTTAAGAAAGCTTTTTCTAAGGGATCCTGCACTTTCCTTTTTTTACCAAGTACAAAGCTTAAGAAGCATTTAAGGAAGGACCAGATGAATGAACACACTGCTACAAGAGTGAGAGCTATGGGAATGAAGCAGGTTCAAGGAGGATCCGAGCAACACTGGAAACGGAGGTTTTCAGGTCCGTCCATTCACACTTGAGCTCCTAGTCAGAGAAGACAACTGGACAGACCACGGCACTGACCCAGCACATCTTATTTTCACAGACAGATGATGACACTTCGAAGTGCTAGAAGATTTGGTGAAAAATGCATTGGGCTAGTGTTCTGTTTTTAGATGTTCTCTCACCAAAGCCAGATTTTCATGTCAAAATGTCCTATATAGCTTTGTGAAAATGTGAGCAACAATCTGAAACAATCGAGTTCAGTAGTGTCCAAGTTATTATATAAACATGATAAATAGTGTAGTGTCAAGCCCTAAATGCATTATCCCATTTAATCCTCAGCCCAAAGGATTGGGTATGCTTTTTTCATTTTACATATGAGAAAATTGAGGTTTAAAGACGTAAAGGAACATTCCTACAGTCACAAAACCAGTAAATGACAAGGGTGGGATTTCAAATCCACACCCAGTAACTCCACAGACTGTTCTTAACACACTTCTGCCTTTCTCCTTCCCATAACTATCACATATACACAAATAACACGGTTTGAAGGCTGGTCCCAAAGTAGTAAGCACATACATGTTAGCCTGCAGTGACGAACTGGGCTGAAATACCGATACTCACTTGGTTCTCCCTCACCAGCTTATCAAAGGGTCTCTCTGAAGCAACGATTTCCAACACTTTCCTCTTTGTAAGCTCCTTCTGAGAATGTCCACTTGCTTCTATATGTATGGCAAGGCTGCTCATAAATAGCATATTTTACACATATTTGCCAATTTGTAAATTTGGTCATGTTTAAGGGACATTATCTGTTCGGTTCTGAGGGGGTAGGAGGACACGTACAAACTCAAAATCAGAAGGAGACTTGCTACACATTTAATTTGATCTCTTTATTTTCCCTAAGTGGAAGTCTCAAATGTTAAGGGACTATATTATGGCAAGAGATGTAATAATGGGGAGAAGCCTTCTACCACTATGAAAAAATAAGAAAGACCTAGAAACCTCTGAGGCAAGTGGGCTGCCAGTTTGTGAATTCATCCCATGGGTTTTACCACATGCTTTTTACCAAAAGCAAGCTGGACTTTTCGGAACATGAGCTCCTAGATAACATCTGTCTTTTAAAGTTGCATTATGGTTAATACCGTTGATGGCAAAACACAGAACAATTAAGTCTCTAAACTTACATGATTTACAAGGAGAGCTGTTGGTGTGCTCCACAATTCTGGTTTCATCTATTCTCAGTTTTAAAGGTCCCCAAGGATATTTGACATTCGGCCGCATTTCAAAACGACCTTCTTTTCCAAAGTAATCACCAATAACCTATGTAAAGACAAAAAGTATATATATATATATGTGTGTGTGTGTGTGTGTGTGTGTGTGTGTGTGTGTATGCAAACTGAAAGCTCAAAGTTCTCTGTTTCCAGAGGAGGCACAGGGTGGGCTCCCCTATCACGCAGACGATGATGATGCATCCTTGAGGACTTCGTCAATCAAGATTTGCAGTCACTGGTGATGCTTTTAAGGTAAGCTGAATTTAGGGAGCACTGTGGCTCCCATGGCAGGAAAGTGGTTATATAGAAAACGATAACCTCGGAATTTATGGCTTTTCTCCTGCTCAGTGCTCAGAGCCTCTGCTTCTGCCCATCCCCCTGCTTGTCCTCTCTCTCTCTCTCTCTCTCTCTCTAATAAATAAAATATTAAAAAAAAAGTCAAGAAGTCTCTTTTAGGAACATCCTGTTTCACCCTTCTCTGGCTGGAAGATTAGTCCATGACTTTGGGAGTTACATTCTCCTCTCTGATGAATTTACCTATTTGCACCCCCATTTCCAGACTGAACTCTCTTTTTCAACTGGCTCGGTATTCCTGGATGACTCAATTCAAGGTCTGTCCACAGTTTCTAGTTCCAACTGAGGTTTCACCAGCTACCAGAGCCCTGATCTAGAAGTACCTTCCCACCCAGGTTCTCGGGATCTGTTTCTCTTTCTTCTGGGCACCAGCACACCACTCCTGAGTGGCCTGTGACATCTCCCCTCTCTCTCCAGAAGGAGGCCCAGCCAGCGTCCACAGGCCATTTCATGTCATAGTAAAAAGAATACTAGACAATCACCAAAATATAACAATCGCTGGCATGTGCTGAGAACTTACCGAGTACTTTACACACATTCACTCCTGAGTGCTGACAGCGACCCTATAATGGACTGTTACTATCCGCCTTTTACAGAGGGAGAGACTAGAACGTACATGAGACCCAGACCACTCTAAGCTTTAGAAAACCATTCAGGAATGTAGCAAGTCCCTGCTGGCTCTGCTCCTCCCACAAAGGCCAAACATGTATACTAAGAGAAAAGCAGCAAGTCCCTTATGCCAGGTCACATCAAGCGCTACAAGGACATCAACTCTGGGTGGGAGCCAACCAACAAGGACACTCGGCCACTGGAAACATGGGATTTCCCCACTTCAGGTCAACATGGAACCATTTCTTGAAATCTTCCAAAATACCCTCGACCAGAAGTGAGCCTTCCCTACTTGGAAACTCCAAGATTTTCAGCTCATTTTTTATTTGAAGGCTGCTTTGGGGACAGCTATTTGGACACCAGGACACATGCATTCCTTGGAATCTCAACAAGCAGAAGGAGCAGCTGAGGCACAGTCTCGTTTGCTCACCTCCTGGGTGCCTGCTTCTGGGTCTGTCATAGCGATCACAGAGAAATCCCCGTACCGGTCTCCATTGGCATCTATGGACACCTGCCCGGCAATACCTAGAGGATGAGATGTGAAGAACTCCAAGTTAGTGACTTAAAAGACCTCCGTCCTCCAACAAAAACAAGAAAATGAATTGACAGGATTTTTTAAACAAACTCATGCCACAGGGAATCTCATCAGACTCTGAGCATTTTTGTTGGCATTTGGAAAGACATTGTAATTTCATCTGTGTCTGCATTCCTAAATTCTTAACATTTCTCCATTTAAAAATGAAAAGAAAAAGAAATAAATGACCTTCTTTGGGGAATATGTTCAAAAAAAAAAAAGATTAAGGCTAATCCTGAAAGTAGCATGCTTATCCCAGAGTTTTGTATTAATTTAAAAAAAAAAAAAAACTTCAAGGAGAGAAAGGTTGGAGGTGCCATGAGCTCCTAGACCTGTCATGAGTTTGTGTTATCACTGGCCAAACATTATAAAAGAAAACTCATTCCAGGCCCAGGATTCAGTGAAAGCACTTCATTATGGGCTCCGGTGACGCACAGAAGAGCAAAGGGCCTGCTTCACAGGTCATGGGAGCCAAGCGCTGAAGAAGAGCTAGTCTTTACCCCACTTGTGTTCATTCCTTTTTGTTATATTTTGTTTTGGGGGTTTTGTTTCCCCGTTTTTACTGGGATATAATCAGCACATCACTGTATGAGTTCCAAGGATATGGCATAAAGGTCTGACTTCTGTATATTGTGAAATGATGACCACGATAAGTGTAATTGACACCCACCACCTCATAGGGATAATTAAATCATTCGTTGTTTATCCAGATGAGTTCTGGGCCATGACTAGGTGCTGAATTTAATGCTGCCACTGAGGCAGAGATGAACCGGACACATTCCCCACTCAAGACAGGGGCAGCCTGGACTAAGCATTTCTGACTACGTGCATCTGAAACCTAGCTTTCACATCGATGAGCTCTGTGACTGTGGGCAAGGACGTAGCCCTCTGGGCCTCAGTCTTCAGGACTGTGAAAGAGGCACACTAGCACCTCCCAGCCAAGAGGCTGTTGAGAAGGTAAGTGAGCTACAACAGGCTGAGCACTTCTGCCACAGGTGTGAAAGACATTAGTTGTCTTCTTCTGCTGTGGCTACTACCGCTGTGCCTGCAATCTGGGAGAGGACATCCGACCGTGCCCACACTACTCAAAGAAGGAATGGGCATCTAGTTGGAGACTCAAGGAAGACCTAGTAAAAGAGCAGGTCTTTATAGGAATGTTAGTAAAAGTCCATGATTTAGACAAGCAGCCATCAGGGAGTAGCTCTCTCAGCAGAAAGGCTAGCCTTGTGAGTATTTAAGGGGATGAAAGCTGAAAGGAAGCAGAGAGACCATGAGGCTCTGGGGGAGGTAGCTGAAGGTGTGTCGAAGGAAGCAGTGAGGGGTAGTAAGACTGGCATAGGGTGGCCAGAGTGCCCACACGAAGGATCTGACTTTGCCCTAGCTAGCAACAGTGGCTTAGCTCATCAGCAAAAACAAGTGTGTATCATTACTTGATACTAAATATGTCTACATTGTCATTTTCATTAACTAAAGTAAGAGAATGCATATGTCAGCCACATCCTAATTAACTAAGGCTATTTGTTTTCTTTCATTTTAAACTGTAATAGAGTTCAGTGTAATTCTTAGTGTTTCTATTGATTTGATTCTCTCCGGAAGTAAAGTGAATGTCTGGGAAAAGGGATCCCAAGGGAAAGTTCCATCCTCTGGTGTGGTTTGGAGAGGGCAAGTATTTGGGTTTACTGTCCTTTGGGTTGTGGTTTGAAGGCCCACTGATTTTTCCAGACCTTGGTCTACTTTGCCACAAACAGAATGGAGCTACCATTCATCTTGATTTGTCTTTTTAATATAGACTGGTTACAAAGGATACACCTATATTGAACGTGTTTATCTTCAACAGCCTCTACAACTTTTAAATAAGAAACATCTTTTTTAAAAGGCGTATTTGTCTCCAAACATATTGCCTACCCCAAACCATCTGTCATTCCGTTCAGAGGTGTTTATAAAGGTGTGTTCTGCTAAGGCTTTTGCAGAGTGTTTTATGAGACAAAGTGGCCCTAGTAATCCAAGACCTCATTACACTTTAGGCTATTACAATTCTGCCAAGAAATGGGGTGATAACCCTCAGGTGGCCAATTAGCAAGTGAGACTTCACCTGAGAGTATTGTGTATAAGGTGAGATTGTCAGGCTGACAGCAGAATTTTCCTGTACCTAAGTAATGAGACTTTCCACCCTCATTTCTATTGGCCTGTAGTGGACCTCAAGGTTTGAGCCACAGTCCTATTTACCTTGTCACTCTGACCTCTTACACAGAGAGGAAATTCAGCTTCTTCCCAAGCCATTTATTGAGAGCCTTGAATGATGGTCATAGGTTTCATGGTAATAAAATCCAAATTTGTCAAATAACATCCAGAGTATTTTTCCTTTGACAATTTAATGGTCACTTACAGAGCAACCATTTCTCAGAGTTCTTTTGGGGGCTACCCTCAGATTGATCAGTGTTTAGCAAATAAAATGGGCTTTCCAAACACTTCAAGCTCAAAACTTACATTGGCTTCAATTATCTTTACATTCGGACAGATAAGATTCTAAGTTTAGACTGAACTATATAGTCAATTGTTTTTGGACTCATTTCATATTGCCTGTGTAGACCTGGCCCTAGAATGGAAGCACCAAGATAGTCTATGGGAAAATTTAGTTCATGCCCTCTATACAAAACTGAATTCCAGCCCTTGTGGGCACCTGCCCTTCCCTTAACAACCTCCTTTAGAAGACCAAGAACAAATGACCACACCATGTAGCAAGGAATAGCTAAGAACGGGATGTGGCCTACCAAGGTTGTGTCCACACACGCCAGTTTCTCAGTGTATTGGGCACAACTTCTGGGAAATTTGACTCTGTCCTAACATGCCCCCTGAATTATCCTATTTGATTCCAGCTCCTCAACTGAAGCAGTCAGAAGTTGAGCAAGACAATCCTAGAGACTTACTTGTTCATGTCCTACAATCTATCTAAAGTTAAAGTAGATGTCACTCTAGTTTTAAGTAAGATGTGGCATTCACTAAATCCACCAAGGAGAAGTTACATCCACATCCAATTATCACCATAGCTGCTGCCCAGGCAGCTAGAACCTGACAAGGACAGGATGAGGCAGTTGAATACACTGAAGTCCCAAATGAGAAACCATATATATGTGCCCCAAATCCAGACCTGGCACTACTTGTTTGCATCACTGAAAAATTTTATCAGTTGAATTGCAAATAAATGTAGACATAGCCCCGGTGTATGAAAGGGCTCAAGGAAAGAGTTAGCATGATGCATCATCAGTCATCGGCTAGTCTGACCCCTTTGTACACGTAATGAAAGAGAAGCCCAAAACACTGTGTCAGGGACTAAGATGCAGGTCCTGAACCCGGTCCAGCAATCTATACTTTGTATCAAGGCTTTTTAAATGACACCCATCCACATGATCCCCATAAGGATCCTTTTTAAAAACTCCAGAAAGACCACGTCCCTCAAAACCTTCTGGTTGGCTCTGTATCTCACTTAGGGTGGAACCCAAAGTCCTCAGCACAGCTTCCAGGTGCACAGGATCTGCCCTCTACCTACCCGCTGCCTCTCTGAGGGTGGCTACTAACTCACTGCCCCTCACACGCTGTGCTTGAGCCACACAGGCCTCTTCCTTCTTCCAGGGGAACTCAGCACTCTCTCTCTCAACAGGCAATGCAAGGTCTTTGTGTTCGCTGCTCTGTCTAGAATGTTCTCTCCTAAATATCTACATAATTTCTTTCACTTCCCTCAGGTCTCTACACAACTGCAACATTATTAGAGACCTTCCCTGGCCCCTGTTCCTTAAAGTAACAGTCCTCCTACCACCCCCTCCTGTCACGTTCTGTCTCCCTACCCTGCTTTCTGATATAGCCCCAGAAACAGTGTATTTATTTGTTTGTCACCAATTCCTCCCCAACTACCCTGAAAGTTCAGTTGTTTCAGGGAGGTTCTTTGGTGCATGGCTGAATCCTCACCACTTTGAACAATGCCTGGCACACAGTAGGTGCTTAAGAATATTTGATGACTGAATGAATATGAAGTTGATAGCTCCAAAGCTCCAGCAGCTGGATCATTCTCATTGACTCTCATGTCAATTTTCTTTGAGTGTGTCAGTGAAGTGAGAGGAAACAAGCACTCTGTATGCTGTTAGCAAGAATTTAGACTAGTAGACCTTGATGGAACATATTTGACAATATTTAATGCACTTTAAAAGGCACTAAAAAAAAGACACCAACATACATTTGGACCCAGATATCTCATGACTAGAAATGTTCCCTGTCAGATGTACTCGCAAATATTCATCAAGACATATAAGATGCCTGTGATAGCATTTTGCATAACAGCAAAAACTGTAAAAAACTGAAGTTATCCATCAATAGGAGACTGATTAAAGGAATCTTTGTGCAGCCATATGGCCAAAATCCATGGAACTATCATTTAAAAATGTGCTGAATCTTTGAGTGCTCGTATGGCCATTTTTTTTACTTGATATACAAGTTTAAAAAGCTGAGACGAAGAGTGGCATTCATTATATATTCCTTTTGTATAATTTTTTTGATAAGATATACAAATGCATATGTGCTGGCAGAAGGCACAAAATATTTTTAGACCGAATCATAGGAAATTGTTAATAGTGGTTACGTTAGGGAAAGTAGACTAGGGTGGGAAGGAAAACTTTCGCTTTTCATTTTGTACATTTTTGTACTGTTTAAATTTTCCAGCCAAGAACAGTCTCATTCTCGTACAATTTTTAAGTGTCAACAGAGATTGCTTGAGTGATGAGATTATAGGCCTTTTTTTTTCCAAGGTTCTTACACTTCTTTGTCCTTAAGAAAGCCCACAGCTGATATTTACCATTTTAAAAGTAAAATAAAAGCACAGGACTTGACTGGACTTGCTTATCATCTCAGACCACCCAGGATTGAACAGATAAATATATTACCTGGCATAATTTCTTTTAAAACATCACAGAACTCTTCACAAACTGATTATTTGTTGTGAATGAGGCTTGCGACAAATTTAAAGAAGCAGAGTTGTTATCTAAAAATCAGAAGGAGACAAGGCACTTCCTGTTTCAGTGGGACTCTACCAAAGCGCTTTCACAAGCTTTCTCTCATTTAATTTTCACAACAAGCCTGTGAGGTGGGTTGATCTTGACCTACTCTCCTTACTTCACAGCTGAGAAAAACAAGAAACTGACAAAGTACCACAGGTGCAAGAGAGAAAAGCAGAACCAGGGAAGAAGCAGCTTGATCACCTGCAGAGTGTTGTCACCTTACAGACTGAATCCTCACCTTCAAAGGTTCTGTTCCAAGTCTGCTGGATAATTTTCCCTCCATCCTTCTTGCTGTAACCAGCTCTGAGTACTTCATGTAAAGCCAGAACATAGAGGAGGATGGCATCGTGGAATCCTTCAACAAACATGTTAACCTGGAAAGGAAACCCCAGTTGGGTGAGCCCAAACACCAACGTCTCGACATTCATGAGTAATGTAAGCAAATCAAAACAGCTAACAAGTTAGACTTGAGGTCCACAAGCAGTGGCAGAGATGAGCAGAAGAGTAGCTAACAAGAATCACGCCATGGTTTTCCTGGCCCTGGCTTAGAAGGAAAACCATACCTCAGCTGGGGAATTTGGAAAGCAGACAAGATATTACAGAAGTCGAGGAAATTGTACCTGTTGGTGAGGCTAAGTATTCCAGGTGCATCTGCCTTTGGCCTCTACACAGGTGCCCTCCTCCTTCCTCACATCTGTTCTCTACCTCAAGCCAACTGAAGTCCAACCTCTCCCTTGAGGTCTTCACCATCTTCAACAGTCCCCACGATCTCTCCATGCTCTGAATGTGACACTGACTGAAAGAACAGTGCAGGTCCATTCATTCATTTTCAGACACCATTGAACACCTACTCTAGGATTCAAAAGGATTCAAAAAAGAGTAGGCACTGCCATTTTAACCTGCCCAGCATCTGTGTCCTCTCTTCCATCTCAGTTTCTCTTTCCAGCTTGTGTTCATAGTGGTTCCTGAGCATCTGACCCCTCCCTACCCAACTCTGGACCCACCCCTACCCTACTAAGCTCTAACCACAGGAATGGAAATAGGCCTGGACCCGACTGGTTTATCCCAGCAGAGTTCTAGGTAAAATAAGATACCCCTTGTCCTCAAGAAACTTAAGCTGCAAGTACTTTGGGGGAAGTCACTTAATTTCTTTGAGCCTTGTTTCATTCCGTAAGTACCATTTGAAAGTTCTGATATTATATTTAAACCCACTGAACATTCATTGAATACGAAATGGGCAAATACAATCTTGAAACCGAGTAGCTTACAAATTCTGTATAAACTACAAAAAACAAAACTAAAAACAAGTCTTATTTCAGGAGAAAGTGACAAGAATGGAATGCCATGGAGCAGAATGAATCCAGCATCCCACAGCCGACCACTGTGAGTCTTGGGGAGGAGGCATTCTATGCTCACCCCTAGAAAGAGATCCCACAGGAAGAGAGACACACTGACCTGCACCACCTCATTCAAATACAAGCATTCACAGCAGACACAGCCCAATGTCCAGTACTAGGTGGCCTCATCCGGCCCTTAAGGATGATGAGTTTTCATCACAGAAGCAAATATTTTGGATTTGCCAAAGCCCAGTGCTGAGAGGCCGTTTAGAATAATGGCTAGAACCTGGGCTCACTTCTCAGCTTTGCCACTTCCTAGATGTGTTTCTCCGCAACTCTGAGCCTGTTTTCCCTATCTGGAAAATGAGGAAAATAATAGTACTTGTCTCATGAGGTTGCTCTTAGGTTTAAATGAATTACTAGATGTGAAAGACCTCCAACAGTGCCTGACAGAGTCAGTGCTCACAGTTAGATTTTGTTGTTGCTATTGTGTACCTATAGAGAATTATAAACCGAGGGATCCTGCTTAGCCTTTAATTCCTAATAGCAGTATTCAGAAAATAAGCAATCCACTTATGGTATAACATATCTTGTGGACCCATTTTACATTTCATGGAAACTAAGGCTCCTTGTTCATGCTTTAACATGCCAAGCAGTTCTCTTACTTCCAGAGTGGTCACACCCCTAATTCTGCCAGAGCATGAAGTGTGCACCCCACACTGGTCAATTCCACTGACCATCTAGGAGAGAAGGAGGAAGGGAAGAGTGCTGATTAACAGAAAAGCTCAAGAGTTAGCTGCTGGACCCAAAGTCTAATCCTAGCCCTGACACATTACTTAATCTCTCTAATCTTCAATTTCCTCATTGGCTAAATGGGACTTTAGCACCTATTCATCCCACAGAGCTCTTCTGGGAATTAAATGAATTAGTGCATATAAAACAGTTTCTGGGGCCACAAAAACAAATGGTAGACACTGGCTTTTACTCTTAGTCATCAAACTTAAGTTTCAGTCATTATTTTCTTAGGCAAAGAAGAATGGAGTAGAAATAACATCTACTAGTCAAAGATAATTTTCTAGATATGCTAATTCAGATATGCTGATTTAGATATGCTAATTGAATTTTCCAAAGAAATATGAAATTTTCACTTAAGCTGTGAAGTCACCATGGCTTGAGAAAGTGTGTGTGCTGATGAGTTAATGCATCTTAGTAAGTGGACTTTAGCTGTACAGTTTCTCTGACCATGATAAAAATATTTTTTTTCAAAAGATCTATCTTCCCTTTGTTAATTGTATAAAACTCAACCTGCTACAAAAGGAAGTCACAGAACCTTGGCATATGGGAGATGGAAGACACCTTAAAAAAGCTCTGGTCTAATCTCCTTACTCTTGGAACCAAAAGAGCATCATTCCCTATCAGTCTTCCTACACTCGTTCCCTCTCTAGTCCTTGTTCCTGGGGAGCGAGTATGGTCCCTGCTTACACTGTAAAGTACCAGCTACTGGGTATCAGCTGTCCACTTCTCTCTCTCCTCCTCCTCTTGATTCCTTCTCAAAATCCTAACCTAGGGCCATCATGCTGCCATTGGTGACCCAAAGCACAGGACATGTGCCCCAGTACCACCCCCCTTCTGGCCCATCCTCTTTCCTTGATAGGCCCTCTCAATTGCCCCCTGTACTCCCCAATTATCTGGCTGAGAAACACGAACTTGGATTACCCTTTTCTTTTCTTCTTTTTAAAGATTTTATTTATTTATTCATGAGAGACACAGGGAGAGGAGAAGCAGGCTCCCTGCAGGGAGCCCAATGTGGGACTCAATCCTGGGACTCCAGGATCACGCCCTGGGCTGAAGGCAGACCCTGAGCCACCCAGGCATCCAAATTACTCTTTTTCTAACAGGTTTGATGGGAGAAGAGAACAGATAGCTCTGGACACGTGTCCAGGTCTGAAAACTCATTCTATCTTGATTTGCAAATGGATCGCAAAATTTACCTTCTTTCCCCCCAAAGTAGCTGAGTGTTTCCCTCTCCTGCCAAAATTAGCAAGAGAGCTGTTGACCCGCGCTGAGGTTCACTGGCACCCCAGCCTGCTGCGGGGGAGGTTTCATAACACCTACCTCATAGAACTTCAAGCCAGAAGCAAAACCCTAGAGACCATCTTTTCTCAAGGAGAACATTCTCACATCCACACGTGTTTTTTAATGGGAGGAAAGCCCGTTAGCACATTATAGGCACTGAAAATCACAAGTGTAATTTTTTTTTAATGAAGGAGAAAAAGATCCAGAGTACTCAGTTGCCTTGAAACATTTTTCACTAAACCTCCAGGCTAAAAGGAACAAAGTCATCTGGTATGTCCCCCTGCTTCTGGTCATAACAAAATCTGAACCTCAAAGTCCTGACTGACAGATCATGCTATTGTTACTAATCGAAGAAAATAGGATTCCCCCACCTGAGTATTCTAGTATTTAGCATCATTTCTAGCCAAAAAGCTCTTCCTTACTGTCATTAGGCATAGTCTTAATTAAATTCCTAAACACAGCCATTCCCCTGCTAGATGCTGAACAATATAGTTCATGAGCCCTGGGAGTTTACAATCCCAACCAAACAGTACCACAGCTCCACAAAAACACACAGATGGACTTTACACAACAAAGTTATGAAGTAGAGCATGATGAAGGGCAAGCTTCGAGGTAGTAAGTACTTATGCTATGTATCAAGTAAAATGCCTATCCTTTAAACAAGATGGAAGTCACTCATCATCTTCCACTCATTCTGGGAAGTTTGCCAGAACAAGATAGCATGCTGGCACTAACAGAGGTCTCATCATTTTATCTCCATTCTCTTGATTTTGCCCTCTGTAGTTGGCCAGCAGCAGGTCTTCCAAATGAAGAAGCGCCATTTTGTCGCTGGCCTTCCTCTCTGAGAGCACCTGTCAGACATGTCTATTAGTGTTGTGTTATTTTTTTAATCCTCTATCCTGGAGAAAGCTGAATTGAAATCTTGTTATATTTTAACTGATCATAAAGAGTTGCCCTTCATGACAGGACTCCTATCTGTGACAGTGAGTGGAGTCTTTCTCATTTCTCTTTGGAGGGGCAAATTCATAGATGAATTCCACAGTGCCTGAGTTCCAAACAAGTAAGCAGAGTATGCTGCATGCCTCAGCTGTTCTGTAAAGTGAGAGTGAATAACACAGCAGTAATCTAGCTCCCCAGGTCGTCTGGATATCTGAGAAAGCCTGTAAAGCTCTCAGACAGAGGCCACTGGGAGAGAGCTACCAAAGTTAAATGCAAGGCTCGGCTGTCCTGGGATTTTGCTTGTGGTATTCACATAACTCAAGCATATCACACAGTGATTTTATCTTCCTTACCACAAACCAGTGGTTCCCAATGCAAAAGAAGAAAGCAAAGGATATTGGGCAACATTTCTCAAGAGTCTTTTGAAAAAGACATGACCTTTAACCTCTCACTTAGTTGAAGGGGAGATGAGAGAAATGGAAATTTTTTAAAGATTTATTTATCTATTTTGGAGACAGCAAGAGGAGTAGAAGGAGAGGGAGAGAGAATCTCAAGCAGTCTCCACACTGAGCTCAGAGCCTGACATGGTGCTTGATCTCACAACTCTGAGATCATGACCTGAGCTGAAACCGAGAGTTAGACACTCAGCCAACTGTACCACTCAGGTACCCCAAGAAATGGAAATTTTGGTGGTGAGAAAAGAACTGGGTCTAGGACGTGCCCCTTCCCCTTCATAGCAGGAACAATGACAGCTTGTCTAATTCATAAATGAAACTTATCCTGACCTACTGGGTCCCTGTGGTGGTGAATGGGGGAAAGAAATGGCCTGGGCATGCTACATGGATAGACCAAAGGTTAAAGAATATTATACATTTGATGAACACTTTATAAGTGATCTCCATGCAATAAAAACAGAGATTTTAATTCAACTTTCTGTTGAATCATAAAGTTAAAAAATCTATAATTTAGAGTAACAGCAAGAATTTCCATAAACCAAGTGACATCACAATCTCTTCAATACC